AACCTGTGCCTGCCTGAACGTTTCACTTGGAAATAGTCAAATGTCTGACACGCGGCCTTCCTGACTGCGAGACCAGAGCCGGGAGCCCTCAGCTCACACCCTTGCCCACCCCTCCCTGCAGGCCCCTTGAGCTATGCTGTCACCTTCCCTGGGAGAGACAGGGGAGGAACATGGAGCTCCCTGGGGTGGGTGGGCAGGAGTGGCCCGTGTGCATGTCAGGGTGCGTGAGCGCGGTCCTACGTGGGCTTGCATGTGCGTACGCGGGCATGACTGTCCGTGTGCAGCAACCTGTGACATGCCCCCCCCCCACCTGCCCCCGTGGCAGAAGAGGGAGAGCCAGCTTTCCCAAAGAGGCACAAGTGCTTAGATCCTCTACCCGGCGTCCAGGGGCCTGCACGGCTCTCTGGCGTCAGTCCCACTTCACCTCTGCTCAGGGCCAGCCCCAGACAAGCCACCCACAAGGCCACCCCCTGCTCTCAGCTGGGCAACGGTCCTGCCCAGCCACGGTCTCAGCTCCGCAGACAGCTTTCCATGCGAGCCGGCTCCGTGCCAGCAGCCCAGCCCCTCCTGGCGCTCCAGAACTGAACTTCCTGGCTCCGCGGAGGGCCGCAGGACTTCCAGGGCAGTTGTCCAGGCCTGGCATTGGGAGTCGTCAATCTGATCTGTGCTGCCGAGGCCAGGAGTCTTCCGGGGACAAAACCTAAGAACTTCTCCCCTTGGTGACTCCCAGAGGGCTGGCAGGACAACTGATTCGGACAGATCACTGGGACAGACGGCAAGGAGAACCCCTGGTGGCATTCCTCTGGGTGACTCCGCTCATGGCAGTTCCCAGCGTGCTCTTCCATGGCCAGAGCGCCAAACGTACCTTGGCCCCACTCTGGGCACTTCCGCAGCCAGGGAGCCCTCTGCTGGACGCCCACCGCGCCTGAAGCTGCGTGTGACATTTCCTAAAGTGTCTCCTCTGTTAGGGCAGGTCAGTGGCCATGCTCACAGGTGCAAAAGAGCTGCAGCCCAGCAAAGCCAAGGGCTCGTCCTCGTCACACACTAAGCCTGCAGCGTGCTCGGTCTGACACCTGCCCTCTGTGCCAGGAGTGGGGGACAGAGGCTCAGGGATGCTGAGCGGAAAGCAGCGGCAGAGACACGGAGAGAACAGTGAGATGAGGCGGAGGCTGCCGAGTGCCCCGAGCAGGGCGCAGATGCCGCCCTGGCACCCAGTGGCCCGAAGCAATGACCTTCAGAAAAGGAGACTCCTCATCCTGCCTATGCAACTGCAGAGACAGGAACGCAAGGGCTTCGCACTCTGCTAGAACCGCCAGCCAGGAACTGCTGCAGCCGAGATTTGGACCCCAGTTTGTGACTCCAAGCCTACACTCCCTCTGCACCGTCTGCTGCCCTGCTGTCTGCTTCAAGGTCGTGTTCAAGGTCACATCGCAGGAACCGTGGGAGCTAGAGCAGACGTAAGACAAACCTTCCCTGGGCACTGCCTCTCTGGTCCTTTGTTGAGCCAGGCGCCTGCAGGACGCGGCTCACCAGGGAGCAAGCAGAAGTTCTGTCACGGGGCTGCTAAGGATGGCCTGCACCTGTCCTGGAAGTCTGCCCAAATCAGAAGACGGGGGAGCCTCCCGCCAGCACTCACTGCAGCCTTCTCTATCCCACACCTGGCCCAGTTCCCACCTTGGGCAGGTCATCAGGGCAGGAGCAGGAGGCCCTGCCCTGGGGGACGCATCGCTCCGCCTCCCCGGCCATGCCAGGGTGTGACTCTGTCCAGCGTCCGCATCAGCTCCTCCCATAATCTTCCTTAGACTTCCGCTCTGCCCGCCACGAGGGCTCTGCATCAGGCCCCTGAGATGGCCCAGCCTCTCAACCCCAGAGGATCCCAGACCATCTCCGTGTTCTCTGCAGACAGGGAAGTGCCAGCACGCCGAGGGCAAGCCAGCCCTGGGTTGCCCTCCCTGCCCTGCAGCTCCCACCGCAGTCCTGGCCTTTAGGAGATGAAGCAGGTGCCAGCTGGGCCAAGCCACACGGGGCCTGAGCTCTGAGGGCCCTGGAGCCATCACAGGGCCCTGTGCTTGGTTATTGTTCTGCTGCCATCATCCTGAAAGGTGTATGACTCTGAACAAGGGCCCCGTCTGTGCCCTGCACTTGGCCCCTCCATAGCTGAGTCCAAATACATGTGTGATGGGCATCTTGGTTTGCAGACCTCAGACCCTTCGGAGGCTGTTCCAGGCCTCAAGGTTGATGAGATACTAGGGAGACAGGGAGTCAGTGCTGGCCCCAGGTCTGACAGCCTACCACCTCCTCCCTGGAGCCTGCCGAGAAAGCCCACGGGCTTCTGCAGCTCTTGAGCCAAAGGCAGCGAAACTGTTAGCTCCCAAGGGCCAGCCTGGTACATCCATGCCAACCTCTTGGGGAGGGGTCCAAGCTGCTCCCCTCACCGTTGTCCCTGTCTTCCTTCCAGCCTCATCCTTAAAGAAGACACCAAGGAGACCATGCCCTGGGCAGGCCACAGCGCAGGCCGGCATGACACTGGGGCTTGCTGGATCAGAGTGAGCAGACCGCTCTCCTGGTCAGACCTTCCCCATCAAATCAGGAGCCTGAGCTGGGGCGAGAGCACAGGCTCAGAGGCTGCACGCCATCGGCCCGGCTCCCAAGGACTTTCCTACTCAGAGGACCCTGCTCCCACCTTGTGTCTCCTACCTGTCAGCTCCTGCGAGACTGAGAGAGCCACAGCTGCAGAGGTCTCAGAGTCAGCCTGACCCCCCACCCAGGGTCCGCAGCTCACACAGTGACGCTGCTCTTTGGTGGGGAGGTGGCACAACCTCCGTGCTCAGGGCATTCGGAGGTCTCGGCTACAGTGAAGCTGACTCTGGAAATGCCTCCGGGAGGCTGAGAGCTGCCCAGGCTGACCTGGACTGTGCCCTCCGTGGCTCAGCAGTGAACACAGAAGGGCAAGCAGGCCAGGCTCAGAAGCCATGAAACTGCAACGGTTTTGGTCCCAGACGGTGTGTGGGCACAGAGGGGCAAGCGGGCCAGGCTAAGAAGCCATGAAACTGCAACGGTTTTGGTGCAACCTCCCAAAAAGAGCCAGAGAGCACCCTGGGGCTGTGGGCTACATGAGCTCTGTGGCCTTCAGGACCCCAACATCAGGCTCACATTCTGGAGGTCACACTGTACCCACCCTCCAGTGCCTTCCGGGTCACCCGTGCCAGTGCCCAGGCTGCCCTTCCTCCCTTCCCTGGACAGTGCTCCTGCCGCCCAGGGCCTGGGCACCTTCTCCCCAGCTCAGAGATGGCCAGTTGGGTTTGCCTGGTCAGCTCTGGTATGCACCTGCTGTCCCCATGTACTTAGTATTAGAGCCCCCATCTGGACCCTGTGGTCCTCAGTATCCATACTCAGGAGCCATAGGGAGGAGCAGGGTGGTGGGCAGAGCATGGGGACAGAGCCAGGCCGGGGT